TCTTAAGTTTTCATTTATAACCATGTTCATATATTTTAATTCTCTTTGTTGTTCGATGGTTGGGGTTAAGTTATCGTCAAGAACACGTAATATTTCATCACGAACTTTGCTTTGCACATCCTTATTCAATAAAGGTATTAAATAAAATGAAATGAAATTTTAAGTACAAAATTTTCAAATACCTTGTGGGTTGCTAACACATATAAAACGGTAGCCAAAGCATTGGCAGCTAATTTAATTATTAAAAAAAATAAAGGTTATAATTTTGAATAAGATGAATAAAATGTATAAAAAGAACTTCTTACTAGTATCATGACCAGCCAACATAAATATTGCAAGATTGCTCTATAAAATCATGGTGAATTTACTAATTACATAAATATTCAAAAAAAAATATTGCTTTGAGAAAATGTTATAATAACAAATTATAATACTTACTCGCATTTCTTCGTTTGACATGGGATATTTTGGATCGTTAGCAGCGTTTATCATACGTTCTAACATATCAGCGGAATTATTGTCTATTTTTTTACCCAATTCGTCAGTTTCCATTGATTTACGTTTGGTTTCAATAAGTCCATTAAATAAATCATTAATCTTTGCAACTTTTTTACGCGCTTCAGTTCGATAAAAATACGGGATATTTTCTAAGAATGGCAAAATAAAATATATTGGTTTATCACATTCTTCTGTCACCTCTTTATATGTAGTAGCATAGACATTTGTTGGATCTTCAAGATTCTATTTAATATTAATTAAATCATTAATTTTTTTTATTAAACAAAAAAAAAAAAAAAAAATTATTTTACATTAAAATCAAATCCAAAAGCAGCTCTTCCAAGAACATCTAAAGTCAGTCTGTAATAGATAGGTTATATATTAAATGTTGTTCCGATTACAATAAATAACTTCGAGATTGATTTACCTATGCATAAGATCTTTGACTTCTATAGGTCCATTATCAACTTTTTCAATAACTTTCAGCAATTTCAAAGCAGTTTCATCAAATACATGCATGGGTAGACTTTTAAACGCAGGATTTATAATATAACTAAGATATAAAGGAGATTAATTAATGTTATAATCTATTTATGGTAAATAAATGGACGATACAAACCGATGACGTTTCCAAACCTACAAACCAATGAGATAGCCGAATATCAGTCATGGATCATATCGAACAACAGAAAAATATCAAATATACTTACATCTCCGTTGGAAAATACTACGTTTGTGCCATAGTAACTAGCCAATAAAGATCCGGGAAACAATTCTTCGATCGATGGTTTAGGAAACAAATCTAATTTAAATTTATAATGTTAAAACAAAATAAAAGGAATCAATAAATAAAGATAAAGGAAAAAAGAATTCTAACCTGCTCTCGTAAATACATCTTTTGTAAGTCCTAAATCGGTTGTAATGATATGCCATGCTCCATTGAACCAAACCTATAAATTTATTTATTATTTTTTTTTTTTTTTTAGAAAATTTATTTTTTAAAATTAATAAATCGTATAAGAATAATAAGATTGTTTACTTTTCCAATTCCTTCTTTCTCAAGAACTTTTTGTGAATTTTCCCAAAGTTTGTCAGGACCTTCATTAGAAAGCAAAGATATAATATATCCAAAATAATTTAATGTTGGCACATCTTTAAGTCCTTCGGGCACTCTGATTGATTGATAAATTTTATAAGCTATAAAAGATATAAAAACCAAAATGGTTGCATAAAACATTTTATGAATTATTATAAAATTTTTCCAATGTGATAACAAAAAAATGGGTGGATTTTATATCTGAAAAATCGGCCATTATTTAATCCATTATTCGGATAAATTATGATACACATACGAAAAAGGTGATTTGTTTATTATTAAAAGAAAAGTAGAACTTTTTTGCCACACAAATATTCAAATAATAATGCTACAAATAGACTAGTTTTTATTGTAAAACTTTTTTTTGCCACAGATCGACATTCTTATTGTAAAATAAAAATTATTTCTGTTTTTTAGAGTTTTTTTTTTGATAATGTAACACAAAATTTGCTTGGAGACTCGTGAAATTCTTCTTATAAATTATTAAATTCAATTTAATTTAATTTATAAAAGGCCTACCTGATAAAAGATGTTCTTTTTCATATTATAAGAAAATTTCTAGCATCACAAGTAGGAGACCTACAGAAAGCGAGAAATGAATGCCAATTCCTTTTACAAAAAGAAACAACTAGGTTAGCGTCGATCTCCTGCTAATAGAGTTGGCTGTAATTAAGTCTCCAGCCAGGATGATAATAATAAATAAACTAGAAAACGGGAACTGTTATGAGTCCGGAGTGAATAATTTTCTTTTTTAAACTATGTAATACTTTATTTATTTTTTATTTAAAAAATAATATATAAATAATTTTAATTTTTTGTGTGACAAAATAAATCTTTTTTTTTGTTATTGTACAAAGTTGTTTATCGAATGACGTTACGAGGCGTGACCAACAGAAATATACAGGTGACTTAATTAAAAAATCACTAATTTCGTCAACATATATAGTTCTACGTTTCGTTCCGGACAAATAACGAACCCTCCCTTCTTCCACTTCTAGCCAGTTATGTCTATGTTAAGCAGTCCTAAGCGGTCCTAAAAGTCCCAAGAAAATTACAATGAATTATTTTCACAAATTTATTATTTAACTTGTCTATTATAATGTTTTAATGAGCTACTTAATGAGAATAAATAATAAACCCCAGAATTTCTTAAATTTATAATTTTAAATATTATGACATTTTTTTGATGGGGTTACTTATTATAGATAGGTGATTAGACTTCTCAAAGAGATAGTAATCTTTTATATCGCCTAACATCCCTATGTCTCATAATATGCAAAAAAGCAAAAATTTTTATTTATGTGAGAAAGAGAAACTGATCATATGTATTTAATTATTGTGAATGATTATACTCAGATTACTGCAATTAAACTGGGTTGATACAGTTCAATTTTTCAGTTTATTTAACTAATGATCAATAAAAAAAACTATTTTTAACATTCATATATGTACTGATTTAATGCTGATATTAAATCAAAAATACTTTATTAAATTTAAATTTCCCATGTATTTTGAATCAAGATTATTGTAAAAGATCAACATCTCAAATTTGACCGCTTAAAAAATATTTGGTTTGGAATAGGTTGTTTGCATTGTATAATAATATAGTAGTGTAAATAACACCTTACATGACATTAGGTTCTGAAATTTTGGAAAGAAAAAAAAATAAAAAACCATTTGACATTACCCGTAAAATTTGAAATTCATTTCTATGCATAAATAAGTTTTTTTTTGCTAATTGTTTGTAATTTATGTATTAACGATGCCACTGTTAAAGAACTTATTCGTGAGGTAATTAATATGCCAATATGTATTTCTGTAGTACAATATCATTTATATCAACTAAATTTATATTCATAATAATTTAACAATATCATCCTTTTTTTTTGAAACTAACGTAAAAATCTAAAATAATTACACGTGGAGTAATTTGCAACAGCAAATGTTTAATTATCTGAACCGGATAATTATAAAGTAACTTCACAGAACTTCACAGTTACTATAAGCAATGCAATGATTGGTGGATTTTTGCCACTTCGTGGCAAAACATCCAATCATTGCATTGCTTACCGTGAACTGTGTATCAATAATGAGAATAATTAAAGTTTATATTTATTACTAACTAAAAAAATTAGAAATCAGTATGAATTGAAAAAATTCTTGGTTATGAATATGCTGATGGTGGCGCACTCTTAGAAATTATTCGAAGGATAATTTTAATAAGGAAATAAATACTATTTGGCATTTCAATTGTCTTGTGCTGTATTGTATTTACATAACGAAGAAATTGTACATCGTGTTTTGGTAACTATATGTCTAATTTATTTCTGTTGAACATCATTTTAAGTAATTAATAATAATGTTTTTTTATATGAATAGCATTCGGGCAATATATTAATCCATCAAGGCATTATTAAACTAGCAGATATGTAGTTTATCAAAAAAAAATGAAGCGGAAACTAATCAGTCACAAAAGTATTTATTGTAATTCCTTATATTGATCCAAAAGTATATATTAGAGAAAGAATAATAATACATCGATACAATATACACTAAACGAAAAGTGTGACGTTTATATTAAAAGAATAAGTACTTTTTTTATACTCTATTCTCCAATGTGAACAAAACATAATTTCTATAAAAATTTTGAGCATTATAAATAAACAAAATAAAATTTTTATAGGAAATAATTATGAGAAAAATTTTAAATATTAAAAATTAGATTATTATTAAGTTATATAACTACTATTATTATGTTCAACAACATTTCCTGGTAAAGTATGTTCTTCATTAATATACCTAAGAGAATGATCTTTCCTTTTTCTATTCCATTTATAAAATAAAAATCCACATGCTATAATTATAACTGCGCCTAAAGTTCCTCCAATTGATGCAATGGCAATTTTTATTGTACCCAATTCACTATTTGTAACAAAAATAATTGGCGATGATTTTGGTGTTGATGGCGATGGGTCAGAATTATTCGTTACATTTGCATTTGTAATTTCAAATGAATTAACCCACGTATAATTTCTAATATCCATGATATAAATATTAGGATTTTTGGATGGTAATGGAGCAGAATTTGGTTGTGTAATATTTCCTATCAAATTAAAATAAATTAAAATGTTTTGCATTATTTCATTAACCAATGTAAA